CGGCTTCAACTAAATTCATTGCAAAAGATGCAATTTTAACATAGCGATGAGTATCCAGACTTATTACCTAAGCCTGGGACTGAGCCTCGAGAGGCAGGGGGTAAGAAGTGTTGGTGTTGTGGGTAGTGGGTTCCCCCCCCCCTTACTTCACCCTAGGTCTAGTGAATATCTGTTCACGAAAGGAGCGTCCATTGTGGTGTCAGCCTCTTGACCTAGCAAAACCTCTCTTACCTCAAGACCATTGTGCGTGGCGAAGAGTCACAGCCTCCCCGAGGTAGTCCCGGTAACTGGGGGTGCGAATCCCCAGGCAAAACACAATGGATCTAGAGGAGCAAACCTCGATAATAAACCCGGTGCACCACACCGTACTGCCCCCTGTGGGAGGGAAGGAGCCAGAGGTGTGCTGAACAGTCTTAGGAATGGAAACAAGTATGCTAACCCCCCTGAATACCGGAAACTATCGTGAAGGCACAGGGACTCAGGACGTGACGATCCAGTTGCCCCAACTACTCATGCTTAGGCCATGCTTAGAGACATGAAGAGCTCAGCGAAACCTGCAGGCAATCTGGTGGCGGGGAATGAGCACACTGTGAGCCCCACCTTAGCTACGTGTTAAAGGGAAAGGCAGAAACACAACCCATATTTCCTTTAGAACTGGTACAGGGCATTTCTAGCTGCTGCCCGGGGAGGTAGGTAATCCACAGACACCCCAGCACCACAATGCCATGAATATGTCAAAATTTAAGAATACATACGAGATCGGTCGTCGCCTCGTCTATCAAGGCCCGCGCCAGACAGTGGGAAACCAGGCTGTCATGTGCGAAAAATTGGCTACTGGAAAATTTGAAATAAATAGGGAAAACAGACACCCCAGGAGGAGGAAGAGTGGGAGGGAGAGCAAAAAGAACTCAGACAGCACAGCAAAAAATACACAGATGCTCAATATTCTGCAGCTGAACATCTGTGGAATAAGAAATAAGAAACTTGAACTTGCCAAACTGCTAAACAACCACAGGGTACACGTGGCTGCCCTACAAGAAACCCTGCATAAAGACTCTGATCTGCATCTCACTGGATATACTAGTTATGCCTGTAAGTGCAATGACTGCCGGGGCATAGTGACCTATATCAGAAATGACATACAAGGAGATGTAACAATGCTGTCGACATCTCACCCTACAGATGTGCAAAAAATAACTATCTGGCACAATGGAAGCAAATACACGATATACAACGTGTACAGCCCACCTCAGACAACATGCAACATACCAGAACTATACAAGACACAGTACCATAAAACCCTTCTTGTTGGTGACTTCAACGGACACTCGCCACGTTGGGGTTACCCTGACTACAATAGCACAGGGAAGTACATTGAAGATACTTGTGAAACAACTAACCTATTAGTGCTGCAGGACACAGAGTCTACACCTACACTGTTACACAGGGCCCACCTATCTCTCAGCAGACCAGACCTGACCATCTGCTCATCCGACTTAGCAGACGCAAGCTATCCCCAAGTCCTGGACGACATAGGAAGTGACCACAAACCTATACTCACAACTGTAAGCACCACCCCTAAATTACGCTTCAAGCAGAGAACCCGTTGGAATTTCCGAAAAGCAAACTGGAAACTATTTCAGGAAACATCTGACTGCCTCCTGGGAAGAATTGACAACAGCTGTGTGGAAACTTTTTGTGAAGACATAACACAAGCAATCCTGAATGCAGCGTCGAAAGCCATCCCAAGGGGCAGCCGGAAGGCATATAAACCTTTTTGGAATCAAGAAATTCAAAATACTATATCTGAAAGGAATAAAGCAAGAATATTTCTCGAAACTGCACGTTCAACAGAAGCAAAGATCCAATACAATAAAGCATGTGCCAGAGTAAAGCTTGTAGTTAATAAGGCAAAAAGAGATAAATGGACAGAAACTTGCTCCAACTTAGACCTTAGACAGAATGGAAATAAAGCATGGACTTTAGTTAAAAACCTCTCCGGAGAAAGTAGAAGGGTGAACCCAAAACCAGTGACAGATGGGAGTAAGACAATCACTGAAGACAAGAAGAAAGCAGAACATTTCAATCATTATTTTGCCTCGGTTAACAGAGCAGGTAAGCTGTCAGAACTCGATTGAACACAGCTCTCTCAGTTGAAGAAACAAGAGAGAGCTCCAACAGCCAGGGACTCCCTTTTTGAAAATGAATTTAGCATGGATGAATTAGAGCAAGCCCTGAAGAAATTAAAACCTAGAAAATCTCCAGGCCCAGATAAGATCCACAACGAAATGCTGCTACATCTTGGCCGGTCTGGGAGAGAAGTAGTTCTCAGGCTTATTAATAAAACTTGGAAGTCAAGCAAACTTCCAAGGGCATGGAGGAATGCATATATCGTCCCCATCCTTAAAACCAAAAAGCCTCCAGATGACCCCAAAAGCTACCGCCCGATATCCTTAACATCATGCTTGGGCAAAGTTGCAGAAAGAATGATAAACAGGCGCTTATATTGGTTCCTTGAGAGTTCTGGTGTTCTATGCCATGAACAGGCAGGCTTCAGAACCAACAGCTGCACAGAAGACCAGCTGTTCAGACTGACACAAAGAATACATGATGGCTTCCAGAATAAGAAACACACAGTGGCAGTCTTTGTCGACCTCCAGCAGGCCTATGACAGAGTATGGAGAAAAGGTCTCCTGATGAAGATGATGAGCATAGGAATACATGGCAGATTGTATAACTGGGTGAAATACTTCCTGATAGATAGAACAATCCAGACTAAGATGCACAACGCAATCTCTTCTAAAGAAGTCTTGGAGGAGGGCTTGCCACAAGGCTCATCATTGAGCTGTACACTATTCCTAATCTTTATCAATGACCTGCCAGAACAAATCAAGGCCGAAAAAGCCTTGTACGCTGATGACCTAGCAATATGGCAGAGTCATGAAAATGTGGAAAGTGGAGCCCAAAGACTGAATGGAGACCTTAGAAGACTGCATGATTACTGCCAAAGATGGAAACTCAAGATTAACTGTGCAAAGACGGTCTACACAATCTTTACCAAAAGCCACCAAGTAGCAAGGAAGAATATTAACCTGAGGTTAGACAAACACCAAGTGATGAAAGAAGAGCATCCCACATACCTTGGAGTCACACTTGACCCGCAGCTCAGCCTCAAGAACCATATTGAAAACATCAGGAATAAGGCATTGAGGCGGTTACAGTTATTAAAGAGACTTGCAGGTACATCATGGGGATCAGACAAGGAAACTCTGAGAGGCTTATACCTAGGATATGTTCGCTCTGTGATAGAGTACAACAACTTACTGCTTACAACTTGTTCCAAAACTAACCTAGAGACTCTTGACAGAGTACAAAATAATGCCCTCCGATTAATCTGCGGAGCTATGCAGTCTACACCAACTGCTGCATGTGAAATCCATACAAATGTGGAACCCCCCGGGTTGCGGAGAGAAAAAGCCACTTTAGAAATTTATGAAAGATGCGTTAGGAAAAATCGTAACCATCCTAATAGACATCTTGTAGAAAACTGGGAACCCAAACAAAGAATAAAGCACAAATCGGTTTTACACTGTGTTAATGAAATTCAGGACAGATACCACCTCCCAGAAAGACGTCAAGGAATTCAGAATGTTGCAAAAAACCTACCACCACATGCTCGCTTTAAAGCTCCAGAAGTCCAAACTAAATTGGTAGGCGAGGAAACCAAACAGTCCGACCCAATCGCTCTTATGAACTCATCACTAAAGACCGTTGATTCTTACCCCCAAGAATGGATACATGTCTATACTGATGGATCAGCATTTAAAGCTACCATTAAAGCAGGTTACGGAATCTACATAGGTTATCCCGATGGATCTGTTGAAGAGATTTTTGATGCATGCGGGGAATTCTGTTCAAACTATGAAGCTGAAATAATTGCACTGGAAACAGCAGTATACCACCTAAAGACTGTAATGGATGTTTACCCCTCAAAGGTCCAAAATATTGTCATCTTCACAGATTCAATGTCTGCCCTTCAAGCTCTGGAGGGCAATGAACGCTGCAGAACTGACATAGCCAAGATAATCCTGGATGCCGATCAGCTTATTACCTCATACAACATCAGAATAGTGATGCAGTGGATTCCAGGTCACTCCGGCACACCAGGTAATGACAGAGCTGACAGATTGGCAAAGAAAGGAGCAACACAAGAACAACCACCTACAGCGACAACCCTCCAGACAGCAAAAACACTGATAAGAGCTATAAACAAAGAGACTTGGTTGAACAGATGGGCCATGGGAGACACTGGAAGAGAGGTTTATAGACATATGTCTGGCCCTGATCCTAATGACAGCATTAACCATCTAACAAGAAGGGACCAGGCCACCATCTTCAGACTTAGAACGCAACATACTCCACTCAATGGACACCTAAACAGAATACAGCCACAACACTCCCCAGAGTGCCAGCTATGTAACTACCCCTACGAAACTGTTGAACACCATCTCTTTGAGTGCCCAAAACTCAGTGAGACAAGAAGAACGCTACTCCCTCCGAGACCAGACAAGTGGAACACCTTGTACGGAGGAAAAGAACAGCTTGTGAAAACACTACATGGCATTGGGCCAAAGGGCAAAAGCTCATGCGCCGCTGGATCGATAACAACAACAACAACAACATTACCTAAGCCTCAATAATAAAGGTCACCTGAAACATATTTGTTTTAGGCCTCAGAGAATGCATTCATTTTAATTCTTCACTCTGTTCTTGTTTATTGATTACTCCGTTTATATATCTTTGTATATTTCAAAGAAAAAGTTGAAAGTATAGATACATTAACATTATAAACAATATATTAGTTACCTGTATAGTTGGTGTTTTATGAAGAAATAAAAATTGTGGTGGGGGGGGGGGGGATTGTCATGACCAATTTTTTTTCTTTTTAGTATTCATGGGCAAAATATGTAAATACCCTTCCTTCTTATTGCAATCAACAGAGCCGTAAGGTACTCTATACTGGAGGTGAGAAACACATCTGTCTTGGAGAGATATGAGCACATCAGTGGCATCACATATGAGATGTTGCTGTCCTTCATCCAGGAGTTTTATTCCAATTTGTTTGTGGAAGGTTTCGTCACAGGCAATCTAAGACCTGAGGTTAGAACTCACCAGATCAGTCTCATTATGTTTGTAGTTAATAATTTTAAAACACCTGTGTCAGGGTTTGTTGTATCCTTGTTAAAAGATGTTTAATACGAGCTATGGGTAAGTGTAATTTGAGAAATGATCTGTAAGTCATCATCATCATCAACTTCCACTTTTGCTGTCAAGTGCCGTCGAGAACAACAGTTTACAGTGCCTTGCTTGATGGGTAGCACTAACTCTTTTCATTCTGTGTGGATGTATAATGTCTTTAGTGGGATCAAGTTTACAATCAAACAGACTAGTGTAAAACCCTGTAGTAAAGATTGGTTAAAGTTGTTTTGTTCACTGATAGATTTGTCTCCATGTTCTAAAATAGCTTTCACATGCAATGCCTAAGAAGAATACTTGGCATTAAGTGCCGGGACAAAATCACAAACCGTGAGGTACTGAAAAGAGCAGGTACTACAACAGTCTTTTCCATGCTCAGTCTACGAAGGCTCAGGTGGCTGGGTCACACCTGGAGAATGGAGGTTGGCAGAGTCCCTAAGGACATCCTTTATGGTGAATTAAAGACCGGTAGAAGATGTTGAGGCCGACCTCTACTACGATATAAAGATGTGTGCAATCGGGACATGAATTATACAGGTATTGAGGTGGACTCCTGGGAACAAAATGCCATGGACCGTGTTGTGTGGAAAGGGCATATCAGGAAGGGAATGAGAGGGAAGGAAGAAAAGATTGCAGAAAGAATTGGAGCTGAGCGTCTGGAAAAAAAACTGGATTAAACACAAATGTTGACAACAATGGTCCTGAAATCCCATGCTATCATTGTGGAAAACTTTTCTTGACATGGGCGAGTCTTGCTGGTCACACTCGCCATAGCCATGGACTGTGAGTCCCATGCCTCCTCATAGCGCAATAAAACACTATCGTCTGGAAATACGGAAAGGTGCCAATCAATCTAAAATAGACTGAGAGGATGATAGTCCACCTTGTACATTGAGTATCACTAGAATTATAAAAATTTCAGACACCCATACAGGCATCATGAATATGGGAATAGCGTCAGTTAATAAATTACATAATAATATTTTTACATACATATTCACACACGCACACCCCTCCCCCAACAGGCACACCCCACACCCCCACCACACACACGCGCACGCACACCCCACACACACACAACCCCCATACACACATACACAAAAGCAAAAAAGGGATAAAAGTTAGTATTGGGTAGGAACCAATAGTGTTAAACAGTGATAGCTCCCACATGGGGATCCCACATGGGGATCCCACTATTTTTACAACTATATTGACGAGCTGAAAGACAGGTGCTTATACTCTCCTCTCAATATACACATCAGCTAATAATGCAACTTTTCTGCTGGTTGGTCAAGACTTCTGCTACATCCAGTGTGTCTTGCTAGCCTGGTTGTGGTGATCTTTACTCTCAGTTCTTGTAATCTTAGCAGCAGTCTGGATGTGCTGCCCCCAAAAATCCTTGGATCATGCTCTCTCTAATGGAATTAAGCATGTTGAAGTCATCCATAGACCAACCATCTCAACAATAGGAGAGCCATCCAAAATACTGCTCCTTCATAGCGAACAACACCTGCATTCCCTGGAACAAAGAGGAAGGTAACTGCATGCACAATTGACCTTTTCAGTGACTCATGCCCTGTCTGGGTACAGAACCTGCCGCACCCTGTAGGAACACACTGACAAAATCACTGCTGAGTACACACATGTGGGGATAACTGTTTGATTCCAGCCACATGAAAGCTCATTTCATTTGCCTGTCTAATAATAGGGCTAGACCTATATTTTTATAGACCAGTCGGCACAAGATGGGTGATGTGGTCAGCTTTCCAGGACTGCACTCGGTACCCACTCAAGGCTGGGTCGACCTGGGAGTCAAGGTCATTTTTTTTTAAAAGTCAGGCTCCGCCAGGGAGCAAACCCACGACCTTCCGATCCGCACGTGAGCGTCTAGCCACTAACGCCACGGCAACACACCTGTCTAATAAGTTTTTGTTTTTTGGTGTGTTTTTTTTTACATCTTAACAGGATGCAATTGAAATTGGAGGACTGGCTATGTCATTAGTGGCCTCGCCATTGTCTCAACAAGACTTCCCTCAAGTGAGTGCAGCTTCTCACTTATTTCACCCATTACTTATACTCTGTAGAAGTCGTGGCAGCATATCAGACTGTTTGACTACGTGCTAAATAACATCAAATGTGACTAGAAGGCTCAACAAGGGTTGCCGATGAGATCGAAATGAGCACCATTCGATTCGATTTGATTTGATTCAAGAACCGACATTACAGCACTCGGGGCATTCCCATAAGTGCTCCATCCCCATCTTCAGCAGCCAGCGAAGAGTTCCGATACTAATGGTGCCAGTAGCTTTCTGATTAAACGTCTGTCTTGCCTTTCCTCTGAGCCTCGAACATCTGCCAGAACCTCTCGTCACCCCCAACTGCATCAATCTCCCAAACTGTGGTGATCCATCTGCTCCTCTGAACTGTACGCGCTCTCACACAAGGCACTAACCACGTCTGCCTTATCATGTATCAGTATTCCACCAAGTTGTGCAAAGCTAGCCAGTCTGTCCGCCTGTTCATTTCCCAACACACCGGCGTAACCCGGTGAAAAAATCCAGACAATACTCCTCACTCGTGTCCTCTGCAGCGAAGCATGCCACTCTGCATGAAGCATACATGTTCTGATCTTCCTCAGCATGCTTTCTGAATCAGTTACAATCACAATGTGTGTGTGTGTGTCGTTTTCTCTAGCCAGCGGAAAGCTGCAGTGACCGCCTCCACCTCCATTCTTAAGCTGGATGTTGTGGTATCATATGCTAGGCTCTCCTGCACCAAATGTCGACCATTAACTTTTGCTAAGAAGCCCCAAGCACTTCTTTTGCCTCTTGTCAATGAACAGTCTGTGTAAATAATCAAATCCTCCGAGCGAGCATTATCTTGAATTAATTGCTGAATTTCCACCTCTGTGGCACCTGCTGGCCAGTCTCTGCATTCCCGGATCAGCGTGATTATGACTCTACACAGGTCTGACTGCTCAGGTGGAACTTTGACCCACTCCTCTCCTCGCCTAATCTTTTCAAGAATGCAAACCTGTTTGATTGTGTCGAAACGAGCACCACAGAATTATGAAGCACTAACAAACATGTCATAAAAGACAACCAATTTTGAGTTTGTTGAGTCGGTTGTATCACCTGAAAAAAATAGAGCAGACAGGGCAGCCTTGTTGTAAACCACAACATAGTGTGCCACCACACCCCCCCCCCCCTCCTTTTTCCTTTTATAAAAATCTTTTGATACTGGAAGGTTTCACAGGAGATTCCAAAGTGATGTTATAATCATGATGAAGTATTGTGGATTTATTATTCACAGAGGCAAAATGCACAGTCGTAATGATCATTTCCTAAACTTTTTTAAAAAAATGAGTCTGGCTCAGATGTCAATCTAATCTTAAATGGGTGCCAGGTAAAGTCCTGTGGAATTAAAGGCAGCCAGTATGATGCTGAACACATCACCAACCAAGTGCCGATTTGTCTATAAAATGTAAGTCTAGCCCTATATGCCAGTTACGTCTGAAGGTGTGGAAAAGGGTCCTTTACTTTAAAAGGATCATTTGGGAAAGACAAATTTCTTGAGTGTGTTCTGACCAAAAATTTAATTTAAAAAAAATAGGGCACATTATGCTGTGGTGGGGAGGGGAGTCAAAGGGTAGACTCATTAACTCATTAGGTGTTTCAGAAAATCAAAGCAGTGTTTCCCCGTTGTGAGTTTGAACAAAGAAGACACAAACAATAGATTGCACAATTTATAGCCTGGCATATTTCGCTGTATCTTGTCAGCTATCAGCCAGTTTAATCCAGAATTATGCGGAAAGAAGGAAATGCTGATCACTTTGCGGTTACCTTGGTGAAACAGTATGTGAATGTAGCCTATTTTGTGTTTCATTTTGACGGTTTCATTTATTTGCTTCATTTTAATCAATTGTTACTGTAGTATGCACCTGACGAGATAAAGCAAAATATGCCAGGCAATAAATTGTGCAATCTATTGTTTCTGTCTTCTTTGTTCAAACGTCAGTGTTGTTAGGGACTGATAAGAGTTGAGGATGAACACAGAAGATTACCACAGTTTCCCCTCCACCATCTTCTCCCTGTTGACATTGTTCATCTTAACTCTCCCAGCCACGTCTGATGCAGCTGGCCATTGGAGACTACAAGTGCTTCCCTGTCAGCCATCAAACCGAGAGGACATCAATTCCTGTGTGTTCAAGTACTTCCAGCAAGGTCTCGGCACT